CTGTAACTGAAGCTTCGAGTAATGAACCCATTTTCGAAACAATTGGCTCAAGTGGTTCAGTGCTTCACAAAAGCTTTATTTGCCTATCACTACTAAGGACAAACAAATTCAACCAGACCAGACAGAGTGGAGAGAGAGCCAGACCGGCTGATTGCCTACAGCCTATAGTCTAGCCATCTGACCAGGTAAACTTAATCTGGTTGATTACCCGATTAAATGGCTGCTAGAAGTGGCTCGTAAAGCATTAACATGTCAAATGCTCAACAAATTATCCTAAATTCCCTTCAACAAGTTAAACAGGTGATGCCCCATAAATAAAGGAGGGCTCCTCTAGCAAGCCAACAAGGTGCTTCATCCGTCCAAGCCAAGTTTATTATGTTATTAGAATGTCAAATTTTCATGTCACACTGACCATAAGTGTGACTGTGACATAAACTTTGCCCTGGTAATAAAATTGGAAGGTGGGAATACCTGAGCTCTTTGTAAAGCGCCCCCATAAGGACAATTAATGTAATCTTTCAGTCCTGATGTGCCTCTGGTTATGTCAGCCTGCAGAGTACTGATCATATTTCTCTGACTCATTGTGGACCATACAGGATGATGACAGGCGGACAATAACTAGCCAGTTGCATAAAGAGAGAGGGACTAAACCTATATACTGCCAATGGAGTCAACAAGGGACAAAGGGAGGAAACAAATCCCACTCAGCTCAGGTTCACCACTCATCTCAGGACGAGTCCTTAGCAAACCCATTGTAGTAAACCTACCAAAAACATGTAAATAAATGTATAACGCCTAATTAATAAACTCCTGACACCGCAAATATAATTGCCACTTGTTTTTTTGTAGTAATAACACCTGTAACGTTAGACTACACGGCCTGAGAGGTTAAACTCAGGGCAACCTTTACCCCGATAGTGTTGCTATGGATACAGCCATTGCGGAGGCCCCGCCCCTTGGCGCTGACGCAGCCGTGCGGAGCCCTCACGTCAGTCACGTCGGGATGAGAAGGAGAAACAAAAACAGCCTCACAGAGCTGAGTTTTATACTAACCGGGGGACAAAACTATTACTTCGGCGCTCTCCCCGCAGGCAGGAGATGCCACGACGTGTCCGGTTCGTTGCGTGTAACGTAGGGTGAAGAGAAGATCGAGCCAGCGAGCTCAGTTTTAGCCTGACAGCCAAACGCCAGTAGCCTGTAGCTAACTAGTTACTTCCCTTTGAGTAAGGTAAGACTTTTCTTTTCGTGCTAACACTAGCTGTGTTTTAGCACGTTTTCTTTTCTGGCAGGTGACGTTAAAGGGAAGTTAGTTTTCTTGTTAACTCATCAGCTGACTTTAAATAACCTCACGTTGTTTTGTTTTGTGAGTTCAGCAGCAAGCAGGCGGCAGCCGACGTTTTTTTTTTTTTTAGTTGTTAAGTTTCACTGACTCATTATTTAGCTGAGACGGGCTAGCTCACTGTTAGCTGCCTTAACCCTTGCTGAATGAAATCCGAGAGTATGAGCAGTCATTAAAAGTCAAACAACCAGATTGTATGTAGATACCACTAAGTCTGTTTGTGTAATCAGCTAATTATATTTGATGGGTTACTGCTTTACTCTAAACTGCATCAAAACATTTTTACTGACTTACTTTTGGAGGTTTAACAGTGAGTGACTTGAAAAACGTGTTTTTATAGTCCGTATGACCAAGATTGAGAACTTGGATGACCTTGGTGTGGCAAGTGTCTTTCAAAACTGAAGAAAAGCTAACAAAGTGTCATATTTCAGATAAACATTGATAGTTAAGTGACAGCTGAGTTGGCACCTGACCACAATCGTTACAGGGCAGCAGCACTACCTGCCTTTTATTCTGTTTTATGTTAGTGTATCACTGAACTGCAGATTATTAATGCATTTTTAATGAAAGCTACATTCTGCTTCAAGATTTAGTCTGTTGTTGCTTGACACGAATGCATTGTTAACCAAATTACTTGATCCGAGCATGGGAGCACATACATAATAACCTTCCTTTGTGGTTTTACATTTTCTACATTCCTGTACACCTTATTCAAAGAGTCATTGTTCTGTGTGAAGGTGCCAGTAGTGGAAATTGTGGATACAGGTTATAGGATCTGTCCTTTGTTTGCAACCTGCTTTCTTTAAGTACTATACACCTTTTTCCCAGTCATGAAACAGTAAGGTAATCAAAGGTGTTACAAATTATACTAATTAAGGTTATGTTCCTTTCAGAGTGCTGCTATTTTGTAGTTTGGCTCAAAGACCTAATTTTATTATCAGGGCAAAGTTTGATGCCACATTTAGGGCCAGTGTCACATGAAAATGTGCCATTATAATAAAACTTATCTTCTCGTTGGTGGCTGCTGGTCCGATTTGTAATAAAAAGCATCCTGTTAACTGGCAAGAGGAGCCCTGCTTTATGTGTAGGAGGTTGCCTTTTTCATTTGTTAACTAAAATGTGAAAGATAATTGAATTACTTAAATTAAATGACTGTTATTGTTACCAATGATACTAAATAAGGTTTCGTTCTGTTTAGTTGAGCAGAGCCTTTCCAGTGAGCCACAATGCACAATAGCAACACGCTGACCCTTCATTAGTACGAACGCTTGTGATCACGACTACTATGCATATATATATATATATATATAATTTATAATATAATTTTTAGTTTTTTAGTAAAATGTGCTGTCTTCTCACAGCTGTTTGGTCCCAAAATTATTTTTATTTGAATTAAAATGAAGAAAAAGAAAACTTCAGCCCAAAATCTTAACATGTCACAATATGTTTTTTATTTTAAGTCTAAAGAGAAGAGCATGCCTGTCTCTTTCATTTCCCCTGACTTTGTGATGCTTTCCCTTTATGTTTTTATTGCTGTTGTATGTTAAACAATAAATGTTGTTCTGTGTCCTTTCAGAGTAAGCAATCATGACACAGAAAGGCAATCTGTGTTCAGTTTCCGTGGGAGTGGAGGGTATGACTTGTGGCTCCTGCGTCCAGACCATAGAGCAGCGCATCGGGTCTCTCCCTGGAGTGATGCATATAAAGGTTAATGCAGTCTCTACAAAGACACAAGAACACTTTATTCTTTCATGTTGAAATAGAGTTTTTTTTTAAATTTGCTGACTTAAACTTTCTGGAAGCGCCAGTTGAAAACAGGACCTGAAATAATGAATAACATTGATGCTGTAACAATTCAGCATTTTAAAATAGAATATGATAGTTTTGTGGAAGAGGCAGAACTATTTACATTATGATATTAAACAAACGATCCTGCCCATTTAGGGGAACTGCGATTTGATTCTCCCTCAGGACTAGCTGGCCCAATTTACAACCAAGTAACATTAATGTAGCCATGAGAGATAGCTAAATGGCAGTAGTTGTGGTCTGCTGTTCGTTTTTTTATTGTGTGTTTACCCCTCAGGCTGAGGTTAAATGAGAAGATAACGTAATAGTGTGTTACAGATAGAGCTTTGCCCTTTGCAGAACTGTGACAGCTGGTCGATACGCAGCCTGTACCCACAGGAAATGGCATTTGTGTCTTAGGAGAATTCAGTCTCTGGGCAATTTTAAGTTAATTCATATAGACATGATCTAAGAGGAGTGAATAGATTTTTCTTGGTACAACATCGTTTCATTCGTGACCCAGTCTCTCATTCTCCGGGTAAAGGGTTAATCCAAGGCACACTCATTTACTACTAAACCCCCGCTGTGTTTTGTAACTTATGGCTCAGTCAAGTGATCCCTTCAGTGTGTCACATGTTTCCCTCTTGTTGAAGAGGAAGCGTAAGGGTCATCATGCTGACAGAACATGCTGTGAGCTCACAAAGGCCTCTAAAGTTTGCATTGTTGAGACAAGGCAGATTCACAATGTGGCTGTAAAAATGACACGAATGAATTTTATTTTAACAGTTTCTAAATTAAATTGTTAAAACTCCACAATAAGTTATGGAAATTAGCATTCTGATACAAATAACATATTGAATCCAGCACTTGGCCAAACACAAGTGCTTAACAGTCTATGGCTTATCAAGTGTTTTCTACAGAAGAAAAGTCCACCCGCGACATCTTTTTATTTTGATAGTTCGTAGCCTGATTATTAGTAGAAGAAAAGGCTAGCTTAGCTGAATTTATATTATATATTTTATAATGTTATATTTCTTTAA